GCCACAAGCGTATCCCTCCACCCAGCAAGGCCAACTCCACCAGCCAAGGTCCCCAAAGTAGGCGAGGGTCTTTAAACTTCCGGGGTCTTCTCCAGAGATTCCCTCCCCTTCTCACCCAATGACAGGTGGCTGGCCGGGGCTCAGACGCCACAAACACCGCCCACCGAGGCTAGAAGGGCGGAGTAGAGCCTATCCCGCAGTCCCGCCCCCAAGCCTGCCGCAGCTAGCAGATCGTGTGGGGCCGTACGCTTGGTGTCTCGCGCGGGATTTCGGGGGGGCTGCAAGGGCCGGAAGGAGGGGCTGGCGGCAGCAATCTGAGGGGCATCCAGCCTACCCTGGCTTCTCTCCCAGTCCCGCGCTGCCCCATTTAACTCCACCTGCAACCGACCTCCACAGCATCTCCTTTCTAAAAGAAAAACCACACCACCACTCTGAACGCATCCTCTAATAATAAATATTCGCCACAGACCGCTTAGCAAAGCGTCTTGATCCTCGGACAGGGCTGGTGGCCCCAGAAGTCAGTCCAGGGCTGCGTCCTCACTCACCGCAGCCACGGCCTCCAGGGCGCGTCCTGGTCCTGCGGCCGGGGGGCGGCGGCAGGGGCCGCCCGGGTCACGCCTGGCACCTGCGTGGGTGCTGAGCTGGCGAAGGCAGGCAGGAGCGCGAAGGCGGCCCCGCGGGGCAGCAGCGGGAGGGGGACGTCGAGCGCCGGCAGCGGCGGGCAGCCCGCGTAGACCTCGGGCGCCGGGGCCTCGGCAGCGAGAGTCGGCGGGGTCTGGCGGTACGAGGACCCCAGCTGGCCTAGGCAGGCCGCCAGGTGGCTGAGCAGGCGGGAGCGCACGTCGGCGGGGACGCCTTCACAGTCGGCCAGGAAGCGGTTCACCTCGGCCAGACACTCGTTGAAGCCGGCGCGGTACTTGCCTAGGACGGCGGGGTCGGCGCCGAGCGCGGCTACGGGGGGGATAGGAGGTCTTGTCCCCGCGGCGGCGGCCCTGCGCAGCCCACCCCAGGCCTGCCGCCAGCGCCTCACCTGTCACCTGCACGCGCTGCAGGCCCTGCAGGTGCCTCACGGCCATCTCCAGGATGTCCGCCTTCTCCAGCTTCGAGTGGCGGGAGCTCTGGGGACAGGGACGGTGGACGCTGTAGCCAGCCGGCTGTAGCCCCAGACGCGGGACCCCAAGCCTGGCCCCCGGGCCCCGGCTTACGTCTTTCCGGAGGGCGTCCAAGATGAGGGTCTTGAGTTGTCCGAGGCTCTGGTTGATGCGCGCTCGGCGCCGCTTCTCCATGACGGGCTTGGAGGACTGCGGGGC